TAATAGAGAAAACTCCAGGCTGCGCTCCAGAGACACACACACACACACACACACACACACACACACACACACACACACACACACACACACACACACACACACACACCCCTCTGGATTCATGGGATTGCTCTAAAAAAAAGCTTTCACACTGGATGAGGGATGGTCTTTGTGTGACAAAATGTGTGTGAACAAAGCTGTGTGTATGTTAGTAAGATTATCTAGGAGATGTTTTTATTATTCTGGAATGGCCTTTCTCTGTTTGCTCACCGTCAGTGATCCTCAGGGCACTGAAATTTCCCTCTGAAAAAAATATTTTTAGTGGTGCATCGTTATTATGTCCTGTGTTAAAACCTAACTGTCTTGCAATCTCCCAAGATAAACTGTAGTAGTCTGTAGTAAAACCTATTTTACAGCATGAAGAAGTAGCAAGGAATAATTCACTAGTTAGTTTACTGACAAAAGTAAAATAAAACATAGCGTCATCAATTAAAAAATCTGAGGTGAAGGCCTTAAATATTTGGCTTTGTCTGACCAACAGTCCTAGAACAACAAGATATTTTGTTTACTATCATATTAGATTAATAAAGACAGAGAATACTCATATTTGGGATGCTGGAACTTGTACAATATGCTTAAAAAAAGACACAACAGCGACTAATAACAACTTACTTTACACATAACCAAGAGTTATGTTCTATAAATTAACTAATGTATCAATTGCCAAATAACTACTAACTAGGCAACATGTAATACATAAATTGTCGATTAATCCAAAAAGTTTGTTTGTGAATTTGTGAGTTATAAAAACCGTAGACGTTGTTAAAGGTTTATTTAGTGACTGTGCCATAGCATACCACAGTCCAACGCTCCATAATGGGGGGAGATTATCTTTCCCCTACAGCCCCTGGCTACTCCCAAACACCTCACAAATGCCCTTAACTACACTGATAATGTGCATAGCTGACACTTTACACATGCATACTATACGTGGACATGTATGAGGGAAAGGTGTGAACGCGTTTCTCACATGTAAGGCTACCATGTGTATGTGTGCATGTGCTGCTCGAGTAATATCCTGTCTGCATTACTGCAAGTGGTTTTTGTCCGTCAATATGGAGATTAAGATTGATATTGACCTAGAGCTGCAGGGCGAATGAGGAGCTGCTCTCCCCTGCTTAGTCTACTATGAATGATTTGGTTTGGTAATATCTGGGGCTAATCTACTGTTCTTTGATATTTGTACAGTCTGGGGTTGATGCACCTACCTAGCAAGTATTCAAATCCTGCTTTAGAGGTGTGTGTGTGTGTGTGTGTGTGTGTGTGTGTGTGTGTGTGTGTGTGTGTGTGTGTGTGTGTGTGTGTGTGTGTGTGTGTGTGTGTGTGTGTGTGTGTGTGTGTGTGTGTGTGTGTGTGTGTGTGTGTGTGTGTGTGTGTGTGTGTGTGTGCACATGCACATGCACGCACGCGCACTATTCACACTGAAAATGAGTCACTGCTATACAAATCCACACCATGCCGCCCTGGCAGGATAATCAGGACATAATGTTTAGTTTCTTTCTATCTCCGTGGATTAGTTTATTTTCATCCGGGGAGAATTTAGCGCATTGTGGAAATCGCCCCCATATTTGGTTGTCTCAGCTTTATTTGAAGCAGGTGAAGGACGTGTGATTTAAGCACACCTACTTCTAGCATAACTCAACAAAAGCCCACCTCAGTCATCTTCAGGCACTCTAGGAACCATTGAGTGTTACATTGAGTCCTATTGAGTATTACATTCAGGCAGATCAAGGATCAGTGTGACATTATTTGTCTGTAGTGGCTTAAGTTTGCACATTGATTCAGCTCAACGGTAACTAGACTGCTCTTGATAAAGGGGAATAGTTCCCACAAAATTCCCCAGAGTCCCCCAGGAATTGTCATCGTGAATACCTGCAGCAGCATGGTTGTTGATAAGCTTTTCACAAACTCTTGGAAGTCAGTATGAGGAAAACTGAACCAAAAAGGGGTCTGAACTTGGCCTAAGTCCCTGTCCAGCTTGATGAATTGTTTGGCCAATCCCTCTGAAAGCTGTTCTTTTGGATTGTAATGCCCGAGAACCAAAATGGAAAACAAGGTTTTGTTTCTGAAAAAAGGTTGCTTGGCCAAGTTGAACCTCTGAAATTGACAGCTCGTGACTCAGGATTTATGATTCATATCACCGTGTGTGTCATGCAACAGGAGGAACAGAAAGTAGGAGTTGGGTATTAGGAACATTTTCGAGCCTCACTGAAGGTCTGAAACTCCCACTGTCGAGGATGAAAAAGCAACAACTACTTTTCTGTTTCTGTAACTTCATATGTTGTTTGCCCTTTCCATTCAAGTTTCTAGTTTGTAAGGATTTAGTTCTACTGAGCTGTCTGTGGAAAGCAGCTTAATATTAACCTAAAAAAGAAGCAAGGCCCTGAAAATCAGGAAGTTGTCAAATGGATAATCGCTGGCTTCTAACTCCAGTCGCTCTCTTTCGGATTCTGTCTCTCTGTTTCGGTCTCACCCTCTTCTTATTTTCCCCTCCCATCTCGTTCCTTGTTGTTAATTATTATCACACAACCTGTTTGCCTCTAACGGCATTTTTCTTTGGCCTTTTTTCTGTATGTTGAACAGATGTTATCATGCCAAGCCTTCAATTGCCCCTGACCTTTGTAACAGAGAACACACACACACACACACACACACACACACACACACACACACACACACACACACACACACACACACACACACACACACACACACACACACACACACACACACACACACACACACACACACACACACGCGCACGTTTTTTCATACTTTTTGACCAACAGTGAATGAACTAAGAAAACCAACGTTCAAAAAGTTGCAGTTATGAAAGAACTTTGTGTCCAGGTTGTTTCTTTGGTAGAAGATGCGTTTAAAGCCGTTTTTAGGATTTACTTAAATAAGAGACACACTAACACTTAGTCTCTATCTATCTATATCTCTCTCTTGTCAGTTGGTAACAAATGCCAAGCAGGGTAGAGAGAGCGAGGAGGAGAAGTGCAGCAACAGCTTCCCCAGAGGCTCATGCAAGCGTCAGTTTGTGTTATAAATCATTCAGGGACACTCAGAAGGGGCACAATACATTTGTATCCTTCTCCTCTCATCCCTCCATCCTCTCTCCTTCTTTTATTATTGAATGCGGTTCCTCTGAGCAACCAATCTGCCGCTCTGCGTGATAACAAAAAGAGAGGAGGACGTTTTGGGGTAGGGGGTGTGTGAAACCAATAAGACAAGAGGGTAGGGGGAAACGTGATAAAGTACTGAGAAGTAGAAGAAATGAGATGTTCCAGTTTGATACAGGAATGGATTGTCCCAAGGCAAAGGTCAAAGGGTAATGGATTGAGTTATGGATACTTCCTGATTGTGGAGTGCTTGTGGACAACAGTTGGTTTCATTGTGCGCTCGTCTTGTATCTGACAGTGTGTTTAGTTCAGGGTCATGTTGTTCTCGCTGATAATGTTGTGGATGTTGCCCCACCTGCTTGTCAAAACGACACACAGTCCAGTAGCCGACAGCGATCTGCTGTCAGAAAGACTCGCTCAGATTGTTTGACGTGCATGTGTGTGTGTGTGTGTATGTGTGTGTCTTTGTGCAACACTGTGTGTGGGAGAAAGCAAAATATTGAATTTGTTCCTGCTAGTGAAAGGTTGCGTTTGCTCACCGTGTGTGGAGTCCTTGAACTCGTGCATTTGAAAGAGGAAGAAAGAAGATGTGTTCAGGTGCAAACAGGAGGCTACAATTAGTTGGAGATACTGTCTGCTCAATGCATTCTGGGATAGACTTTGTGCTCCGAGTGACCCTGAATATGGACGATAATCATTAATATGAACATGGTTACAGGATCTTTCTATGGTACTAAATAAATAACCTGTTTTACTTTACTGGTGATTTTGTTAGTTAAACCATGCTGCCTCTGAACTTTTTGTTGTAGAATATGTATTGTTGTCTTTCCTGAAGCTGATAAAAGGCAGGATCCTGGTGTTGAGAGGATAATAACTGACGAAAGAGATTGTTATTAGCCGTTGAGTCATTCCACCATCTGCCATTGTGAGGAATTAAAAAATGTTTCCCTATGTTTGTGCTGTTTATCCTCAGCTCTCATGCTGTAAAGCAATCATGGTAATATTTGACTAAATCTGACTCACCTGATATAAAATGTATACATTACAGTAGAGAGGCTGTAAGTGGCTGATAGTCTTGTCAGTTGTTTGCTTGCGTTTGATTGTATTTTAGTAAAAAGCCAAATATAAGAGAAAAAAAAGGAAAAACAAACGTTGTGTTGGCAGTTAGGTTCTTGCTGAAGTTGCACTCGGCCACAAAAGTGCATCAGACACTAATCAGTGCCAAAAAGACACAACCGAAAGCCACATATAAAATAAGGATACTTTAACAGTTCCAGTTAATTACTTAAGCATGAAACCAATTATGGGTTTCATTCATTATTTATGAATGAGAGAAGAATGTAAGAAATAATGATCAAATTCACATTGTGTCGAGGTTTGCAGCTGAAAACACACTCAAAGTAAAATAGCTGAACCTAAATAAAAATGTATTTAACACAGGCTTGAATTTCTCAAAGGTCTACAAAGAACTTAAACAAAAAACAATGTTAGTGTAGTAGCCTTCCCTAGTATTGGCTCAGTAAAACATTATAATAAATAATTAATCTTCCTCGTGAGCACATTTTCTATCACGAATCTCATCTACTGTAAGTAGTTGGAACCAGTGACTTTCGGGCAATTGTTCTTTAAAAGTAACGAATAACCGATCATCAAAATAGTTAAATATTAGTGCAGACTATTGTTCTTTTGATCTTTTAATCCACTTTTTTCAGCTTTCACACATTATCAAAGCCAGTTATTGAATGTATTTTACTTTAACATACAGTAAAATCCCACCATCTAACCTTTTTTTTTAATGTTTCCTCTTTCCAACAACAGGTACAGTATTATCCCAGTCATGAGGAAAGTCGGCAAGAGGTCAACTCTGGACTTAAACTAAGAAAAAGAAAGAGGGGGAGACAGAGGCTTGCCCGACTCCCCATTTACACATTTCCTACAGGTAGGTTATATTCTGCTATTATTCAACACACATGCAATACCAAACCTATTACTTTTTTTTTTTAATTATGTATTCGATTTTTTAACCAATATGTCTAATCTTATTGCGACTTCTAGCATGCAAATAGTTAAGCAAAATGTCTAAGGCTGGAGCCACACGAGGACGATAACACAAACGGACCGCAATCGTTATCAAAAAAGTCTAACGTCCACACGCAACAGGCACCAGAAACGTGTCCGTTCACACGAGACCGCTCGAAAGCGCTGGAGATGCTGTAGTACATATGCCAGGCCTGTAAGTGGCGCTGTACTCCTGCCACAAAAGCAGCGAAGAAGACTCCCCGCGCATGGTTGCCATGGTTGCCCTTCTGTTTATTCTCCGCTGTGGACGCTCTGGCTCTTTTTCTCCCTCCCCGAGGCAAGCGTTTGCTCCTACTCTCCCGGTAGTCCACCAGCAGATGAAAAACACCCACCTCTCCGCCTCTTCCAAGGGACGAGGGGACCGTGCGGCAGAGTTTCAGTTTGATTTTTTTTCGCCGGTCAACATGTCCGTTAAAGTTTAAATCTTCCGGACAAAATTAGAAAAGTGCCGGTCAAAGGTCTTCTTTGTTATTTATTGAGCTTTAAAACAAATTGATAACGACTCTATATAATAATATAATAATACAAAACGGAGCCTCTCTTTTCCTCCCCCTCTTCTGACAGCCCAGCAGCTGATCTCTGAGCAGGAGAGGTGGGGAGAGGCGGGGCTATTGCTTCAACGTTATCAGAAAATGATTGTATAGGCTTAAATACAGAGCCGTTTGCCCCCCCCAGAGCGTTTCGTTTGCAGATCTACCCACCTTGGGACCCGTTATCGTTATCGTTTTCTGCGTTTCCACGTCGGCCTCGTGTGGCCGAACCGTCTATAAGTGAACTGTAGCAGATACGACCGTTATCGTCCTCGTGTGGCCGGGGCCTAAGTGCGTACGTCCTTGTGTCAAAAGCCAGACATCAGCCGACTGTAACTGGGTCTTGTTGTCCTCGTAATGAAAGCTTGCTGCCCTGCCGGCTCTCTGATGTACACAGCAGCTAACCAACCCACTGTCACTCTGCATTAAAGCTGAGTCTGAATGGAGGCAACATTTCTCTGGCATGTACTGTACCGGGCGTTCTCCAAGTTTTGTGTGTGTGTGTGTGTGTGTGTGTGTGTGTGTGTGTGTGTGTGTGTGTGTGTGTGTGTTGTGTGTGTGTGTGTGTGTGTGTGTGTGTGTGTGTGTGTGTGTGGTGTGTGTGGTGTGTGTGTGTGTGTGTGTGTGTGTGTGTGTGTGTGTGTGTGTGGTGTGTGTGTGTGGTGTGTGTGTGTGTGTGTGTGTGTGTGTGTGTGTGTGTGTGTGTGTGTGTGTGTGTGTGTGTGTGTGTGTGTGTGTGTGTGTGTGTGTGTGTGTGTGTGCGCGCGCGCGCGTGCGCGCGTGCGTGCGTGCGTGCGCGCGTGCGTGCGTGCGTGCGTGCGTGCGTGCGTGCGTGCGTGTGCGCGCATGTGAATTCCTGTGTATGGGGATTGCTGAAAGATTTGAGGTTGCTTGTTGGCAGCATGCAGGAAAATAAATTGTTGGATACGTTAAATTGGAAGCTTGCTAGCCCAGAACCAGTCTTACACGTTTGATTATAGTGCACTTTACAGATGCACTATGCAGCTGCACTTCACTGTTAGTCTTTTAGCAAAGTAAAGACCGTCGGCGTTGTGTTTTTCAAACGACTAGATATCAAATACGATAATACTTTAATGGTCAGATCAAGTCTGAAATTTGACTTGCATCATCTCCATGTGTAACATCAACATAGACAAATATCAAGAAACAATACATGAAAAACAAAAATGTAACATAACAGCACAATCACTGAGAGAAAACATGCTCAAAGACCCTTACAAATACTGTGGTTAAATGTCGTGAACAACAGTAGCCTTTAAATACAGTTGTCCTATTTCTTGTTTTTAAGTTTTGAACTGTTTTGCTTTAATATTTCATAGAAAGTTGTCTGGATCAAGCATATTTAAAGCTTTTGGGATTAAAGGAAGCCTGCGGTTAGTGTGTGGTTTTGGAGTCTTTTGTGAATTGGGTAATCATGTAAATTCTTTAAGTCAACTTGGCATCATACACAGAGCCAACACCAATCCTTCTTTCAGCGGGAAGGCAGGCAAGTATGTGCAACTGTACGTTCTGAGCCGGGGGCAAATCTTATCGCTGAGTCACACCCTGAGTGGGGGAAAGCGCTTGTGGAAAAGGGGTGTGGTACAGGGGAGCAATCTGGGTTACAGAACAATCCTCAGGGCGACACCAGGGCTAGTTTCCAATGTTTGGGCATCCCCTAACCTGTATGCTGGTAAAAGTGTTTGGTGATATAATATTGGTTTTATCAGTATTCTAAGAACGACATGAAACCACCTACACGTGTAACGTCCCCCACCTATGATCCGTGGGACTGTAGGTACGTTGGAAGGAGAGCAGCATTGTTTACGATCTGTTAAATCAGACACATGGAAGCCTGGTCTGACCGTCGACCTTTACTTATCCTGAAATCTTCTTGTTAGTGTGATTTGAAGGGAGCGTTGTATATTTGTGGAAGTGCTTACAAAAAGAGATGGAAGTTTTCATCCATCTTGACGAGCAGCTGCCATTGAATGGTTAGTACATTAAAAAAGGACAGGCAAATAAAGGCAAAGTTGAAACCAGCTGAACTTTGAGCGAAGCCTGTTGATGAAACGTAAAGGGGCTTAGGATCGTCCTTAGTAGTGTAATAACCAGCATCTCAAAGTAACTGGAAGTATTACTGTGTACAACAAATAAATACATTTATAAAACGGACAAGTAAAATCAAGCAATCTGATTGGTTCTTAGCCGTGGTATACTGAGCGTATACCACGGGTAGAATTGTAAGTTACTTTTCACAACAACTCAGTATCCCTCCGCGTCTGAGATAAACAGTATACAGTTGGGCTCAAAAGCAAACTGCTTTTCAAACTGGAACAAGAAAGCAGCGGAGAAGTAACGGAGCAGAAACCCTCCTTTTTACGCAACGGTTCAGACATAGACATCAAACGGCAAAAACATATTCAGTGTGCAGTTCCTTTGGCATTAGGGCAGGGATATTTAGATACTTTCCAAGGTTTGACATAATGAATTGTGCTACTTTTAAAGCGAGCAACGATGTTTTCAAATCTGTAATCAAAAAGGTCCGCAAAAACATTTAAGATTAACTTCGACCTCCGGGGGGGGGGCTGTCTTACTATGGAGGAGTGGATTGAGGAGTGCCTATCTCCAGAACAAAAAGCACCTAAACGACGACATGTAGAGCGACGTGAAGAGTAGGTCGACCAACTGGAAAAGTATCACCATTCAAAAGCTTTCTGATGCGGGTCTTGAAACAAAGCAGAGAAATTATGACCGTTAGTGGCCACAGGTGCGAAAGCTCTCTCCAGAGCTACTGGAAGCCGAATCTCGGGGACCGGAGAAAGTGGAGCAATATTCTCGCCACACCAAGCAACAGCCTAGAACAACCTCAGCCTATACAAGTAACCACGTAAGCCATGCTACTGATGCTGGACAGTTTTTCAGTGGGTGCACAATAAACGGCAACATACAAATTAATGTAAATAAATAGCCAAATAATGGATCAACGCTCTCTGTCTAATATGTTCGCTAGCTGTTGTTAGTGTTGTTGCATAGCAACCACCTCGCACTATGTTTTGTGCAGAAGGTAACGGACGGACTATTTTATTTTGAACATCATTATTTAATAATAACAACTATTTAAATTAGAGTGTGTATTTTTAATTCATATTGCCACACTTGGTAACCGTTTTATAAAAGCAATAGCTCACTTCAGGCCGTGATATATGCTCATTATATCACAGCTAAGGGGGTTGTCGACCCTCCGCTTCGCGTCGGGCCGAACCACGCCCCTTAGCTGTGATATAATGAGCATATACCACGGCCTGTCGTGAGCTATTGCTTAAGTATATAGGCCCCCCTCCATTATACCCATTGTACACATCCTGCAAGAAATGTTGATACAGTTAATACAGATAATCAACTTTTAAATATTGTGTTGTGCAGTGTTTGCGTGTATGAGTGTTTTTGTTACTCGGTATTTCCCAGACTTTGACCAGAAAAATCTGTTAAGGTCCAACAACTCTCCAATCATTATGTCTGATGAAAATAATTTCCCCTTAGTACAATTTTAAGTACAATGAAAATGGGCTGAATAATGTCAGCACCTGTAGTTCTCCTCAATGCCACGTGAGGAGAAGACTGGATTAGTGATTTCAGCGCAATCTATTCCGAGACAGTCAAACTGGACGAGGTAGCCATAGTGATCGGTGGTTTCTCTCTGTAGAACACAATCAAAACAGCGCTTGATTTAAAGTCGGCGGCGGCACGCCTCAATTAAAACCTCATGAGCCAGACACGCCTACATGTATTTTTCAAATAGTTGTTTGCTCTGTTTATATGAGAATGTGTTGGCCTGAAGCTGAGGAAAATGTTTTGTCTTAAGATAGGAATTGATCCCTGTTTTTCCAGGACACATTTCCGGACACATGGACCGGCAGAAAGCTGTTGTGCATACACAAATGCTGCACCCCATCCATGCACTGTGTATTAAGTCACAGGAAGAACAGCCACTTTGGATTTTCCATTGATAAGAAATAGTCCTATCACCCTTTTTTAATTGGTCCGTCATCACCATGCAACCCTGGCATTGTGCATGTAAATAGGCTTGTATATTATTCATACCGAGGCTGACCCATTTAATGTCATGCAGAGAGCATGCACACACAGAGACGGAGTACACGTCACACACACACGCATACATTACTCTCCAGAGGCCTTGCACTCCAGTTAGATGTAAGGCTCTATCTTCTGGCAGTCTTTACGTTTTTATTAGACAGGATTATTGAAGTGCAGCCATTTTCTTTTCTTTATTTCTATGAGTGTGTGTGATCCAGGCAGACACGTGCAC